GCAAGGGCCCCCACAGGCTGCCCCCACTGCCCTCAAAGAGGTGGGTGTGAGACGCCTGGTTCCATGCATGGTGCTGGGACTGAGCGTCTCCCGGTTGCCTGTGCCTCAGTTTCCCTGGTGGGAATAACACTGTGAGTCCACCCTTGCTAAGGACAATGTGAGATTAGCCTGTACTCATGAGCTGGGCCCTGGCCACCCCGGTGGCAGCATTGATCCTGCAGGCCAAGTGATTGTAAACAGCTCGGTGTGAGACGCCTGGTTCCATGCATGGTGCTGGGACTGAGCGTCTCCCGGTTGCCTGTGCCTCAGTTTCCCTGGTGGGAATAACACTGTGAGTCCACCCTTGCTAAGGACAATGTGAGATTAGCCTGTACTCATGAGCTGGGCCCTGGCCACCCCGGTGGCAGCATTGATCCTGCAGGCCAAGTGATTGTAAACAGCTCTGATGCATGCGTGTGTATGGGGGGATCGTGTGTGTGCCAGGGTGGCATGTGTGCAGGCTTGTGCGTGCAAGGAAAGTGTGTGCGTGAGGGAGAGACTAGTGTGCCAGGGTGGCGTGTGTGTTTGCAAGGGACCGTCTGTCTAAGGGTGGCACATGTGTGTCTGAGGGACCATGTATGCAAGGATGCCACACACGTGCATGGGGGACCATGTACACGAGGGTGACAAATGAGTGTGTGTGTTTATGCACAAGGGATAGTGTCTGAGGGCAGCACGTGTGTGTGCACAAGAGACTGAGCATGCAAGGGCAGCGTGTGTGTGTGTGTGTGTACAAGGACAGTGTGTGTGAGCGACTGTGAGGGCACATGTGCATGTTTGTGTGTACAAGGACAGTGTGTGCGTGAGAGCGCCTGAGCGTGCGAGGGCGGGATGCTTGTGTGCCGAACCTACCAAATCCCTGGGGGAAGGGATGGGTCTAATTCCCTCTGACTAACACGTGTGATCACCGTGTTTGTGCCTCCACCAGCGCGTGCCCTCCCGGGCGAGACCCAGCTGGGCAGGGCAACAGGCACGCCTGCCTTCCCCCGGCTAACTCGGCCCCGTGTCCATCTCTCTCCTAGACATGCTGCTGGAGAACAACCTTTTGATAATAAATCTGTCTTCCCCTATCCAATGACCAAATGCTTTTAAGAGGTATACAGAATTACTTACCCACCTAACAGGCCTCCTACTCCGGCATGGAACCTTAGCTTGGTTCTTCAGGCTCTCAATTCTAAACCATTCAAGCCTATGGCAACATGCTCCATGCTCCACCTATCCATGCAGGTGGCCTTGCTAGTAGTGCTGATGTCTGCCAGGGGGGTTAGTGAGATCAGTGCTCTCATGGCAAACCCTCCATTCATGATATTTCACAAAGATAAGATTGTTCTCCTTCCTTACCTAAAGTTTCTCCCAAAAGTCCCCATCCCCTTCCACCACTGTAACAAGCCCATAAACTTACCTGTCTTTTTCCTAAAGCCCCATGCCAGTGTGAGGGAGGCTGTGCTGCACATTCTTGACACCCATTGAGCAATTGTCTTTTACTTGGACAGAACTAAACTGTTCCACAAAACAGATGATTTGTCTTGACTATAGAGAGATCCCTGGGAATGCCAGTTTCCACCTGGAGATTATCTAGGTGGATAAGGGGGGCCCAGAATGTAGGGAGGTTGGGGGGGGGGCCCTCCAGTGGCACAATGGATAAGGTACCTGCCTGCAGAGCCAGAAGTCAAGGGTTCAAGCCTCCCCCACCTGGGGGCAGGCCTCTGCCCAACCACTCGCCTCCAGCAGGAGGTGCTCACTGGCTGACCTTGTTATGGTAGGGTCTCCCAGGACACACTGTGCTCTGCTGTGGGAGCCAGGCCTGCACATGCTGGTTTGTTATGGTAGGGTTACTGGCCAGCTCATAACAGGGCTGGTCTCAGTGCCAGGCTGCCCATGTGTTGCACAGTCCATGCAAACACCCGTGGCGGGGCAGGGGCAGGATGCTCACAGCATGACTGGGAAGCAGGGTTGGCTGGGGGACCAAGGTGTCCTGTCCTTCACCTCAGCCAGGAACCCTGGTTTGTTCCAGGCCAGGCCTGCCTGAGCAAAACACCCAGAGCCCAGCCCTCGACTTTGCTTTGTTCAGCCGACAGCCTCCTGCTTACCAGCTGCCCCTTGGGCAAACAGCAGCGTGGCCCACGGCAGGCGGGGCGGGGCTCCCCTGGCCTCCCTGGCACCAATCTCCTTTCCCCCCTCCCCCTGCAGGGCGTACCTAGGTACCACTCCCCCAGGGACCTCACTGGGGGTCCTTCCGCCTCCCCGTGGGGTCACCCTGGTTTGCCCTGCCGGAGGAGCCAGGGCCTGGGGAGCAGGCACGCAGCTGGGAAGTGAACCCAGGAATCCAGGGCCCAGCAGCTCTCTGCCCAGGGACAGGCTGCCCCTCCTCCGCCAGGGGCCCCCCGCAGCCCTTTTCTCTTCCCCAGCTCCTGGGTCTTTTTATCCTTAACCCAGTGCCCACCTTCCTGCTGGCGTCGGGGGCCCCTTCGCCCGGCTGGCAGGAGGGTGCCGGGCTGCCGAGGAAGCGGGCCGTGCTGAGCGTGCTGCTGCACTTCCTGGAGACCTACCAGGGCATCCTGCAGGAGGAGGAGAGCGCTGGGAAAGTCATCAAGGTGCGTGGGAGCTGGGAAGGGGCAGCTTCACCCTCCCCCCCCAATCCTGCCCAGTGCAGGATGGGCCTGATCCTCTTTGCCTGCCCCTGTTCAACCTCTCCACTGGGCCGGGCTGGTCCGTGCTGAGCGTGCTGCTGCACTTCCTGGAGACCTACCAGGGCATCCTGCAGGAGGAGGAGAGCGCTGGGAAAGTCATCAAGGTGCGTGGGAGCTGGGAAGGGGCAGCTTCACCCTCCCCCCCCAATCCTGCCCAGTGCAGGATGGGCCTGATCCTCTTTGCCTGCCCCTGTTCAACCTCTCCACTGGGCCGGGCTGGTCAGTTTCCCCACTGGCTGCCTTGATTTCCCCCCCACCAGGGTGTGGGGCCTGATACTCCGGGACCCCCCCGCCCCATCTGCCCTAGGGAGTCTGTTTCTCCTGGCGTGTTCCCGCGTATCTCTGCAGACCGCTGGCTTCTCCAGCCTGAACGTGGCCCTGACAGGCTGCGCCCGTCGCACCAGCGTTGGGCAGGGGGCAAGGGTGTTACATTGCGGGTAATTGACTCGTCGAGTAGTCGATGGAATTTCCCGTTGGGGCTCTTGTACACTCCGAAGGAGGAATGCGGAACTCGCGTCCGGCCCGGGGCAGGGGGAAGCCCCGCTGACTCCGGGCTTTGAAATGTACGAGAGTCCCCAGCGAGGGCTCTTGTGCATTGCAAAGCCATGGAGCCCGGGGTCAGTGGGGGACTCAGAGTCCCCTGCTTACCCTGGGTTCCATGCTGAGCTGTGGATAAGGTACCTGCTTCTGGAGCCGGAGGTCTAGGGTTCAAGTCCTCCTCACCCAATGTGGGGTCACCTACGATGAGCTTGGCGATGGATGGTCCTGGCACCCTTTGAGCAAAGGCTGGATAAGGGGAGCCCAGACTGTAGGGAGGTGGGGGGGCTGGTGTGGTGGATAAGCTGCCTGCAGAGCCAGAGGTCAGGGGTTCAAACCAACCTTTCCCCCAACATGGCATCACTTAACACAAGCTGAGGATCAGCTGGGGACTCCACAGCTAACCCCAGGCTCTACAGCACTTCAGCATTTTAAAGGAGCAGCACCACACAGATGATCCCCAGCTCAGCTATGTGGCATTGCCACCTGGAAGTACCCCTCCCCCTGCTGCCCACAGCTGACAGAGGTAGCAAGGGGGTGGGGGAGTCGACTAGTCCTTAACATCCCTGGAGGGGGGTGATGCTTTGTGCCCCTACACCTGCCCGGCCAGATCTGAGCTGGGGGAGCCTTGCTGGCCAAACAGCCTAAGAACCCCCCCTCCCCCCCCC